GATGACGATGTTGAGGATGATGAGGGCGATGAGGATAAGGAGGAGGAGGAGGAGCAGGAGGAGGAGGAGGAGGAACAGGGGGAGAAGAGGAGGAGGACGAGGAGGAACAGGAGTAGGGGAAGGAGAAGGGAAACATAAACAGGATACACAAACGGGCGAACAGAAAAGCCACAAGTTTTTTGAATGCCTCTCGATTGGAAGTTGTTCGGGGGCTCTTGGGGCGTCGGGGGGGGGGGGGGTATCTTGGCGGGCCAGGGCCGTCTTTGAACGTTGTCGGTGCCCCAGGGATCCTCTTGGGGCCTCGTGGAGGTCTCTTGGGACCCTCTTGGAGGCCCTCTAGGAGAGCCTCTTGGAGCCGTTTGGGCGCCTTTGGGGACCCTCTTGGGGCGCTCTTGGGAGCTTTAGCGGCGCTTGTGGAGCCATCTTGGAAAACATCGATACCAAAAGAGGGGAATTTGAATTAGCCTTGCCCTCCTAGAGTGCCTGAAATCGCCTCTTGGGCCGCTCTTGGACGCTTTGGGGGCCGTCTTGGGGCTCTCTTGGTCCCCTCAAGGGGCCATCTTGGAACCATCTTGAGGCTCCTTATGGCCATCGGAAGCGAAACGGCGAGAAAGCCAACACACATTGATTTCCCCAAAGTGCTTGAAGGATTTGTGTGTGTGTGTGTGTATATATATATATATATATATATATATATATATATATATATATAGGGTGCCTCCTTGGGGAGCTCTTTGGGCATTTGAAGCCGTCTTGAGGCGGTTTTGGAGCCTCTTGGAGCATTTTGGAACCATCATGAGCAATTCTGCGTTATTTGGAGCCATATTGGAGGCCATCGCGCGCTCTCTGAGGCCCTCTTGGAGCCAACTTGGGCCACTTTGGACGCTCCAACTACCCGCGACCACCCGTGTCCAAATCCAGGGAAAGGAGTAAGGGGGAGGGGTGAACCCTTCCCCGAACCGGAAGAAGTGGGTTGGAAAAGCAAGCTCCTTAGACCGCATGTGCCAAAAGGTCTGGTGGGATTATAGTTGTTCTGCCCCGGAAGTGGGTGGGTTTTTTGAGGCAGCCTCCGTGGGGTGTGTTCGTAGCCTCGGGAACGCGAGCGTATTATACTTGACAAAGGACTGTCGCCCCCGAGGCGCGAACCCGAAGTAAATGGCGCAGGATTGTGGCCTCGCGGGAACGCGAACCTGCCGTCATTGACTAGAATATGTGCTTTCGGGAACACGGACGTGCTGCAGCTCACGAAAACGATCGTGGCCTCGGAGGCGCGAAATCGTAGTAATCCCCAAAGGATGTGGCCTCGGGAACGCGATGCGCCATTTGCCCCCCAAAAAAACAGTGGCATCGGGCGAGCGTGCGCCTCGCAATTTGCAGAGGATTGTGGCCTCTGTGGTGCGAGCGTGGCGCACTTTGCAGGAGGTCGTGGTTTTTCAGGGGCGCGAATGTGGCGTGATTCGCCAGGGGTCGCGGACCAGGGAGCGCGGACGTGGCGTGATTGGCAAAAGGCGTCGTGGCCCAGTGGGCGCGACGGTGGCGCCACTTACATAGGATTGTGGCCTCGGGGGCGGGAGCGTGGCGGAATTTACCGGGGGTCGTGGCCCTGGGAGCGAAAGACGTGGCGTGAGTGATGAGGGATCGTGGCCCCGGGGGCGCGAAGGTTTCGTAATCTGCATGGGATCGTGGTTTCGGGGCGCTCGAGCGAAGGGTGATCTGGGAGGGGTCGTGGCCTCGGAGGCACGGGCGTGGCGCAACCCACAACTCATCGTGACCTCGGGAGCGCGAATCTGGTGTAATTCGGCGAAGCGTCGTGTCCTCAGGGGGGAGGCGGGCGAGCTTAGCGTAAATCACTCGGGATTCTGGTTTCGGGAGCGTTAGTCCGTTGTATTGCATGTGTCCTAGGGCCCGTGGGGTATTTTGAGAACCCTTGGGAGGGACGGTGGCCAGGGCGGTGTTTTGCCCCCCCCCCCCCCCCCATCGCGCGAACAGCAGCAATTTGCAAGAGGAAGCAGAAAGTAGAGCTGCAACATTGGAAAGTGGAAACTTGTGATTACTGACGCAGGCTGCAGGAAACCTCATCCCTTTAGTCTGGTGGCCCCGACAGGGGGCCAACGGGTTGTGAGGATGTCTCAAAGCATCGTCCCGTGTTGACAAACACGCTTTTCATTTTGCACATCTATTTCGGGCCGTGGCTTTTACGAAACCTCAAGGGAGAGCCCAATGTTGGAAACGAACCCGCTATCCATCGTTGTGATTGTAAGGGATTTGTGCCACAAGTGCGCGCGTTGGTGAGGCGAGAACCGCATGTTGATCACGACCCGCCTTCCTTCAAGTGCCGCAAGTAGTTGAGATACATCGGTCGCGATCAGGAAATATCAGCGTTATGAAACGCCCCGCTCTCCATCCGTGTCTCCAGCGAAATGTTCGGGTGAGTGGTAATGTGGGTTTTGCAAATGGCAAATGTGGGTGAAGAAAGCAGCACAGTGTATGAACCCTTTAGGGGCCCTTTGTTGCTTTGCTTTGGCTCCAGGCTCCAGCAAAGCAAAGCAAAACACAGCGGTACCGTAAAGCTAGCACAGCTGCAAGTTTATGTATGCTTGTTGTCCTTCGTCTCTTTCCGGCACAGGCAACAGCGCCGGCCTCAGACAACACGAACGGATTCCGAACATGTATGCTTTCGACTTCGCGCTATGGAGGCTTCGGTGCAGATATTGGTTACCCGTGTGGAAGCTCTTACTCACGCAGTCGATGGAGCTGATGTGCAAGGCCCACCAGGTGGCGAGAGGTGCGAGATTGCAGACGCGCAGAAACGCTTAAGCCGCTTAGAATTATCATGTTTGCATTCATCCTTGACAGAGTTCCATCAGCTTGACAATATGATCGAGAAGCTTCTGCCGCACGCAATACCGTTGAGCCACGTTCAGTACAACGAGGTACAAGAGGTCGAGGCCACCCCGGAGAGTAAGGAGCATGGTGTGTCAACCCGAATGCGAACGCTCACCGAGCAAAACAAGGCCAGAGACATTGACGATATCAAGACGAGGATCCGCAATCGAACCAGCTGTCCTTCAAACTCGACGTCGGCGCGGCGCTGGCCGAAGCGAGCAACGATGACGTCACCCAGGAAGATGGTGACAAGGTGGCGGAGGAGATGAGCGACAAGGAGGACGAGAAGGAAATCGATGTCGACTGGCAGGGACAGAGCAGGCATTTCCGAGGCCGCGGCCTCTACGCCATGCCCTAATGGGCATGGGCGGGCTCCCTGGTGTAGAGCGCACGACTCCGGCGCTTCGCTTCGCTTCGCTTCGCTTCGCTCAACCTGAATAGTGCCCAGACTTTCCGACCGGCAAGTCCGGAGGTGCGACGAGGAGGAGCTTTGCAGACGGACGACGGCTGCGGCAGCACGAGTAGGAGGATGGATCGCCAGGAAACGCAGGGAAGACATGGACGAGAGAGAGGAACGATCGGACGGGGCTAGGACGAGGATAAGTCTGTCGCAGAGCGTTCCGGAACGCTCTGAGAAAACCGCGGCGCCTGAGGCATTTCCCAGATCCGCCGGGTCTCAGAGATTCCGGATTTACCCGCGCCAGAGTGCATTCTCGCCCTAGCTTCGTCCAAGAGCGATGCGGGGAGAGAGCAGGGAGGAGTGAGCGCGCCCTCCATCTCCCTTCCCAGTCCCTTGGTATCGCTCGGGCGTGTGCACTTTTTCTCGGCGGGGACTATTAAGGAGCATCCTGGATCATCCTGCGAAAAATCCACGCACGAAACCAAAAAAACAAAGACATGGAATGGACGTCCGAGCGATGGCCAGCTCCCCTGGCAGCAGCGGCGGCGGGAGCCCTCCCGGGCGGTGGCGGAGGCGGCCTCCCGCGCGCGACCCGCCGGGTGGAAGGGGCAGAAAAGCGCGGCGCACCACCACGTGCGCGGCCCATTCTTCGGACGCCCCCTCGCATCCAATCTTCTTCGTTTTCCTTCATCCTGTCTTTTGGGTGGAGGTTTAAGTCGGGCCTGTCCCTCTACAGGGGGGATATTCAAAAATAGTCAAAAAATAGTCAGGGGACGATTGTCTGACAATTTTTGCCCATTCGGGGTGTATTTTTGAACATATTTTTAAATTTTCGCCCAAAATCCCCCTGTAGGGGGACACGCCCGACTTGAGCGAAGGTGCGTAGGGAGGGGCCGGGCAGGGCATGCCGATTGAGGGAGGGCGCCATCGCAGGAGGAGAGGCAGGGCGCTCCTCCAGTCCTTTCCCCCCTCCTTCGTTTTCTTGCTCTACGTCCCCCTCCTCCCCGCCCCGCTCCTGACGCTGACCACTCTTGTCTCTTGCTTGTCGCCTGCACTCGGGCGTTCCACCCAGCACGGGGCTGGAACAGTGGCCCCGCTGTCGCGAAAACCTGCGCGGGACGCGCACAGGCTGATTCCGCCCAGCGTTGTGGATGTAAGGCTCGCGGTAAGAAGGATCGCGTTGAGCCCAGGGTGGAAGAGGCGCACTGGCTGTGGAACGCGCGCTCGCGCGTGCAGCGGCAACTGAGGGAGCGGCGGCCACGAAGCATCATGCGCCTTTCGTTCCTGATCCCCTCCGCCACAAAACAAATACGAATTCGCAGACACCCTCCAGTGGATTGTCCCTGGGCTTCTGGGGAGGGGGCGGGGTATAAATCACAACTTGGAGCCAGCGATGTTCTTCCCCCCCGCCCTCCCTGAAGGTACATGCAAACGTCGGAAGGTGTCTGCGTATGTATACAGTGGGGGCGCGCATCAAGAAACCATCTGCTTTTCGTCAGGGTATCCTGGGTTTCTTCGCTCCTCGCGCTGCGCGGTGACTTCCCGCAGCCGTTGAATGAGCTGCTGCGTTCAAGGTGCTCCGGGTATCCCCTCTGGTGTACCTCGCGCGCGGGTTCTCAGGGTTGGGTTTCTTGCGAGGGTTTCTTGCGGCCGCGCCCACACTGTACATATGTGTATACACAGTCGCGTCGTATCTCCTACCCGCCATACGGAGGCCAAGGCGCCGCTGGCGTGGCAGCTCCAGCCCCCGAGGAGGAGTTCGAGCGCGCGGCGGAGGCGCTGGAGAGGCAAATCGGCCAGCTGAGGGACCGCAGATCGGGGCATGGAGGAGGAGCGGACGCCTCGAGAGGGAGAGGAGGAGGAGGAGGAGGAGGAGGAGGAGGAGGAACAGGGGGAGGAGGAGAGGGAGGAGGAGGAGGAGGAGGAGGAGGAGGAGGAGGACCAGTGTAAACCCAAGAGTCATCAACGATGTTGGAATAAACCCTCCTTCCAAACTTCCTCTTCATAGGCCCCTACAACGGTTCATTTCTACTGAAGGAACTGCCTCGTTGGAAGACAACCGTTTGAAGACTTTGAGGCATGCCAAATCATTGTTCGCGGGATTCCAACGCTACGGATTACCCTGACTGTTGCGTTTAGACGATCTTGAAACGCGCCAGAATGCCATTCCTAGGTTTTCAACACCGCGAATCAACGCAACTGGCGCGCCCTCAAATTCTGGAGTCCTGCCAAGACAATATTTTTGGCATGTTGACAATGGGAATCCGTGAATTTCTTGCACAGGTTGAAAACGAATGTGCGCGGCGCAACGGCGAGAGCCTCATTTTGAATGAAGCCGCCCTCAATCCGTGAAAGTCTTGTATTTTTCAAACGAATGTAAGCGTCGCTATAGCGAGAGCTACATTTTGAAAGCGCCCTGCCCTCAATCAGTGAAGCTGTTGCGAATTTTGAAACCGAATGCGCGCGGCGCTAAGGCGAGAGCAACATTTTGAAAACCACACGCCCGGAGTGTGCTCGGCGGTAAAGCGAGAGCCACAATTTGAAAACCACCCGCCCTGAATGCGTGATTTTTTTTTTGCGAATAGTCAATAGTAGCGCTCCCCTCGATAGCTTAGGCTGCCTTGCCTATTCCCTTGAACGAACGGCTGGCAGGGGTGGGAACGCGGAGGGATTGTGCTGACTCCGCAGCCGCTATCTGCTTAAAGGTAAAAGCGCGCCCAGCCCCTCTCTCTCCAGGCCGGGCTGCTTACGCATACACATCCCGCGACCATTCCTATACGTCGGATGGCGTGGGACTCAGGCTGGGACGCTTGCGCGTCTGTCGGCTACGAGTCCACCCGCAAGGAGTGGGGGTTCTTGGACTGCAAGAAGTGCAGGGACAGCGCACCGTTGATCAGACATCTGGGTTGTATTCTTTTTTCTCAGCGAGATGCGCTCACTCGAACTATCGGCGCCAGTGATCTGAATGAATGACCTTTGGCTCAACAGGGCTCTGGTTCAAGTGGCTCAAGGGGCAAGGCAGACACGCCCGCGTTCGCGCCCGTAGCCCGCGCAGCCGCTGTTCACGAGAGCGGGTGGACTGAGGGATTTCCGGTTTCTGCCCTCGTGAGCTGAATGCCTCGGCCCGCTGAGTTCCGGCAAGGAGCTGGAGGCTGAGACCTCCGACCACTTGGACATCGATCACCAGCTGGAGAATGCCGGGGGCGATGGCTGCATCACCGAGGCCTACGTCGCCGACACCATCATCGCAGACATCGTCGCCCACGACACCATGGTCGACGGCATCCCACGACGCCAACCACATCGAGGCCTTCGTCCACACACACACACACACACACCGATGACAGAAGCTCAGGATGTGACTTTCGCTCAGGTGCAAGGCCACCTTCGACAGGCGGAGCTGACTACATCGGGGAGTCTTACCGTGGCAGTCGTGGCGGCGGTCGAGACCAGGATGCAGATCCTTAACGCCACTATCGACACGCGCACCAAGACCTACCACTGGCGCAACTGGCAAACTGGCATACGTCCCCGACTCGCGCGAACCTCGACAGTTGGCCACACCACGGACAATAATGAGACCGCGCGCGACTCCAGCAAGAAGCACGGCCTCACCGTCCTCGGCCCCGACGTGGAGTTCAAGGCCGCCGAGGCGAGGATTAACACCCGCAGCCATTACTCCAGGAACGACACCGAGCGCGTCGTAATGGACCAAGGGCATTCTAACCGAAGCATGCCGAATGAACATCGCCCCCCCTCCAGCCTACCCCAGACCCGCCCGCGCCCCCTTTTTGCATTCAGTTCCACACGCCCTTGCACACCCACCTCTTCAACGTCCATTGCCTCCGCGTGGCCTGGCCCTTCAGGAGGATGTTTGGGCCCGGCCCCATAGGCAGAGGGGAGCTGGCACGTGCGCTTGCAACGTTTGCAGCGCCGTCGCCGACAATCCTGACGGCATTGGCGCGAGCTTCAACATCGGCGGCAGCATCGGCACTGCTGACAGCACCCACGCCGGCATCCACGACAGCAAAGAGGGCAGCACTGACGCTGGCTCTGACGCCCGCTACGCCACCGGCATCGACATCAGCACGCAAATCAGCACCCGCGACGGCAGCGACGGCATCAGTAGCGACATCCCCTACCACTTACCGAGCGCGCAGCATCATTCTGACCGCCGCGACGGTGCCCAGGGCGACTCCCGCAACAGTAACATCTGGGAGGCAATTGGGGAGATGTTCCTGAGCAGCATTGGTTGGCTTGGTGGCGGCGAGCTGCCCCATGCAGTCTGCGCGGCATCCTGGCGCAATTTCTTTGGCGCTGTGGGACGCGGCCTGGGGGAGATGCTTCAACGCCTGATAATGCCCCCCCTGCGCGCGCGCTCGCCGCGTCACTCTTCAACCGCACCCCTTTCTACGCCCCCTCGCGTCCGAGGAGAGGACGGCCCGAAGCGACTTGGGACGAACCTGGGGGCACGACGTGGAGAGGGCGAAGCGCATGCTCCAAGGAGGCCGTCAACCGATCACCTTGACCATGACGGGGCGCTCGCGTTCATGTACCGGGGTCCTTGCGAATTTGTTTCGCACATATTCTTGGGAATCTTTTTCAAATTAAAATTCGACCCTCCATCCCTCCAAACTCCGCCGCAGGCGCCCAGAATAATAATAATTTCAAACTGCGGCAGCACCCCCAAATTGGAAGCATACCCCCCTGGATTTGCCCAGGACCCCCCAGGAATCTTAGGGGCCCTGACGGATTCTGATGGATTCTGCTGGTTTCTGGAGCCCCGTCCTGGAGGATTCCTCCCTGGACGCCCTCTTGGAGCCGTGTCGGGCCGTTTTGGGAAGCCGCTTGGGCCGTCTCGAGGCCATCTTAGGTCGTCTTGCGTCTTGGGCCGTCCTGAATCGGTCTTGGGCAATCTTGGCGGCCCTGGTGGCCTGTTTGGGCCAGGTGGCAGTCATCTTGGATTCCTCGGAGGGCGCCAGGGGCATGTCTCGGCGCCGCATTTTGGACACCATCTGGTATCTGGAATCCAGATGACTGCCACCTTGGATTCCTCGGAGGGTGCCGGGCCATGTCTCGGACATGGCCCGGCACCGTTCGGCGCCGCATGTCCGTGCATGTTTCGGTGGCAGTCATCTTGGATTCTTCGGAGGGCGCCGTATGGAAAACGTATTGAGTGGCAATGCATCGCCTCATGTTGAGGCCCAGAATGCAAGTGAAACGGTTGTTTTTCTCAGCCAGTTTTCTGGTGACCCCCCCCTTCGTGGGTCACCTGGTGTGCTTGCGCCGTATCGAAAACGCATTGAGTGGCAGTGCGCCGCCTCATGTTGAGGCCCAGAATGCAAGTGAAACAATGGGGTTCTCTCAACCAGTTTTTTGATGACCCACCCCTTCGTGGGTCACCAGGTGTGCTTGCGCCGTATGGCAAACGTATCGAGTGGCAATGCATCGCCTCATGTTGAGGCCCAGAGAGCAAGTGAAACAACTGTTTTTTCTCAACCAGTTTTCTGGTGACCCACCCCTTCGTGGGTCACCTGGTGTGCTTGCGACGTATGGCAAATATATTGAGTGGCAGTGCATTGCCACATGACGAGGCCCAGGATGCAGGTGAAACAATTTGTTTTTCTAAACAAGGTTTCTGGTGACCCACCCCTTCGTGGGTCACCTGGTGTGCTTGCGCCGCATGGAAAACGCATTGAGTGGCAATGCATCGCCTCATGTTGAGGCCCAGAATGCAAGTGAAACAATGTGCTTTTCCAAACCAGTTTTCTGGTGACCCACCCCTTCGTGGTTCACCTGGTGCGCTTGCGCCGTATGGCAAAAATATTGAGTGGCAATGCGTCGCCTCATGTTGAGGCCCAGAATGCAAGTGAAACAATTGGTTTTTCTTAACCAGTTTTCTGGTGACCCACCCCTTCGTGGGTCACCTGGTGTGTGCTTGCGCCGTATGGAAAACGCATTGAGTGGCAATGCATCGCCTCATGTTGAGGCCCAGAATGCAAGAAAAACGATGGGTTCTCCTCAACCAGTTTTCTGGTGACCCACCCCTTCGTGGGTCACCTGACGTATTGAATGGCAGCGCATCGCCTCATGACGACGCCCAGGATGCAGGTGAAACAATTTGTTTTTCTCAACCAGTTTTCTGGTGACCCACCCCTTCGTGGGTCACCTGGTGTGCATGCGCCGCTTGGAAAACGTATTGAGTGGCAGTGCATCGCCACGTGACGACGCCCAGGATGCAGGTGAAACAGTTGGTTTTTTTTCAACCAGTTTTCTGGTGACCCACCCCTTCGTGGGTCACCTGGTGCGCTTGCGCCGTATGGCAAACGTATTGAGTGGCAGCGCATCGCCTCATGACGAGGCCCAGAATGCAAGTGAAACAATTGTTTGTTCTCAACCAGTTCTCTGGTGACCCACCTCTTCGTGGGTCACCCGGTGTGTTTGCGCTGCATGGAAAACGCATTGAGTGGCAATGCGTCGCTTCATGCTACGGCCCAGAAAGCAAGTGAAACAATTGGTTTTTCTCAACCAGTTTTCTGGTGACCCACCCCTTCGTGGGTCACCTGGTGTGCTTGCGCCGTATGGAACGTATGGGAAACGTATTAGGTGGCAGCGCGTCGCCTCATTCATGCCCAGAATGCAAGTGAAACAGTTGGTTTTTCTCAACCAGTTGCTGGTGACCCACCCCTTCGTGGGTCACCTGGTGTGCTTGCGCCGTATGGCAGACGTATTGAGTGGCAATGCCTCGCCTCATGTTGAGGCCCAGAATGTAAGTGAAACAGTTGGTTTTTCTCAACCAGTTTTCTGGTGACCCACCCCTTCGTGGGTCACCTGGTGTGCTTGCGCCGCATGGAAAACGTATTGAGTGGCAGTGCTTCGTCTCATGTTGAGGCTCATAATGCAAGTGAAACAATTGGTTTTTCTCAACCAGTTTTCTGGTGACCCACCCCTTCGTGGGTCACTTGGTGTGCTTGCGCCGCATGGAAAACTATTAGGTGGCAGTGCCTCGCCTCATGTTGAGGCCCGGACTGCGAGTGACATATCTGGTTTTTCTCAACCAGTTTTCTGGTGACCCACCCCTTCGTGGGTCACCTTGTGTGCTTGCGCCGTATGGAAAACGCACTGAGTGGCAATGCATCGCCTCATGTTGATGCCCAGTGCAAGTGAAACGATGGGTTTTTCTCAACCAGTTTTCTGGTGACCCACCCCTTCGTGGGTCACCTGGTGCGCGTGCGCCGTATGGAAAACGCATTGAGTGGCAGTGCCTCGCCTCATGTTGAGGCCCAGAATGCAAGAGAAACAATTTGTTTTTCTCAACCAGTTTTCTGGTGACCCACCCCTTCGTGGGTCACCTGGTGTGCTTGCGCCGCATGGAATACGTATTGAGTGGCAGTGTTTCGTCTCATGTTGAGGCCCGGAATGCAAATGAACCAATTGGTTTTTCTCAACCAGTTTTCTGGTGACCCACCCCTTCGTGGGTCACCTGGTGTGCTTGCGCCGTATGGCAAACATCTTGAGTGGCAGCGCATCGCCTCATGACGAGGCCCAAGATGCAGGTGAAACAATTTGTTTTTCTCAACCAGTTTTCTGGTGACCCACCTCTTCGTGGGCCCCCTGGTGTGCTTGCGCCGTATGGAAAACGTATTGAGTGGCAATGCATCGCCTCATGTTGAGGCCCAGAATGCAAGTGAAGCAATTGGTTATCCTCAACCAGTTGTCTGGTGACCCACCCCTTCGTGGGTCACCCGGTGTGCTTGCGCCGTATGGAAAACGTGTTGAGTGGCAATGCGTCGCCTCATGTTGAGGCCCAGAATGCAATTGGAACATTTTGTTTTTCTCAACCAGTTCTCTGGTGACCCACCTCTTCGTGGGTCACCTGGTGTGTTTGCGCTGCATGGAAAACGCATTGAGTGGCAATGCGTCGCCTCATGTTGAGGCCCAGAATGCAAGTGGGTTTTTTTCTCAACCAGTTCTCTGGTGACCCACCCCTTCGTGGGTCACCCGGTGTGCTTACGCCGTATGGGAAACGTATTGAGTGGCAGTGCGTCGCCTCATGTTGAGGCCCAGAACGCAAGTGGAACCATTTGTTTTTCTCAACCATTTTCCTGGTCACCCACCCCTTCGTGGGTCACCTGGTGTGCTTGCGCCGCCTGGAAACGTATTGAGTGGTAATGCCTCGCCTCATGTTGAGGCCCAGAATGCAATTGAAACAAATTGTTTTTCTCAACCACTTGTCTGGTGACCCACCCCTCCGTGGGTCACCTGGTGCGCTCGCGCCGTAGCGAAAACGCATTGAGTGGCAGTGCGTCGCCTCATGTTGAGGCCCAGAATGCAAGTGAAACAGTTGGTTTTTCTCGACCAATTTTCTAGTGACCCACCCCTCCGTGGGTCACCCGGTGGGCTTGCGCCGTATGGCAAATGTATTGAGTGGCAATGCCTCGCCTCATGTTGAGGCCCAGAGTGCAAGTGAAACAGCTGGTTGTTCTCAACCAGTTGTCTTGTGACCCACCCCTTCGTGGGTCACCTGGTGTGCTTGCGCCGTATGGCAAACATACAGAGTGGCAGTGCGTCGCCTCATGTTGAGGCCCAGAATGCAGGTGAAACAATTTGTTGTTCCCAACAAGTTCTCTGGTGACCCACCCCTTCGTGGGTCACCTGGTGTGCTTGCGCCGTATGGAAAACGT